TCCCTCCACCATCTATCTCCACCCCTCCCTTCTCCCTCCTCTCCACCATCTATCTCCACCCCTCCCTTCTCCCTCCACCATCTATCTCCACCCCTCCCTTCTCCCTCCTCTCCACCATCTATCTCCACCCCTCCCTTCTCCCTCCTCTCCACCCCTCCCTTCTCCCTCCTCTCCCTCCCTCCCTTCTCCCTGCCCCTCCACTTTGATCTCCTCTTTGATCTCCTTCATCCCTCTTTGTCTTTCCCCTCCTTCCCACTCCCCCCCTAGCTCCCTGGCTCCCAGAGTATCCCCCCTCCCTGCCTGCCGTCTCCCCTGCCCCCTCGACCCCTGACCTGGGCAATGCCACGGCGATGAACCTGTCGGCGCCGGCGGGGCCCTGCGGGGGGAACCAGACGTGCGGCAACAACGACCGCTTCAAGTTCCTGTCGTACACCGTGACCTACAGCCTGGTGTTCCCCGTGGGGCTGCTGAGCAACATGGCGGCCCTGTACGTCTTCCTGCGCCTGACCCCCAAGAAGTCGGCCAACACCGTCTTCATGATCAACCTGGCCCTGTCGGACGTGGGCTTCTCCCTGACCCTGCCCCTGCGCCTCGTCTACTACCTGCGGGACGGCGACTGGCCCTTCCCGGACTGGCTGTGCCGCCTCTGCGTCTTCTCCTTCTACGTCAACCTCTACACCAGCGTGCTCTTCCTCACCGTGCTCAGCGTCCTGCGCTACGTGGCCGTGCTGCACCCCATGAGGAACCGGGTCTTCCTGTCCGCGCGGCGGGCGGCCGGGGCCTGCGTGGGCATCTGGGCCTTCGTGGCCCTCTCCTCCACCCACTTCCTCTTCGCCGGGACCTACCAGTGCGGCGGCAAGACGCGGTGCTTCGAGCCGCGCGGCAGCCGGTCCTGGCACCGCATCCTGGCCATGAACTACGTGGCGCTGGTGGCGGGCTTCCTGCTGCCCTTCCTCACCATCCTGGGCTGCTACGGGCTGATCCTGCGCCAGCTGCTGTGGGCCGGGGCCAAGCTGCGGCGCAGCCGGCGCCGGAGCCGCCGGCGCTCCGTGCAGCTCATCTCCATCATCATGAGCACCTTCCTGTGCTGCTTCCTGCCCTACCACGTCCTGCGCACCGTGCACCTGCACCACCGCGTGGGCCAGCGGCCCGACCACCCCGAGGACTGCGCGCTCACCGAGCTGCTGCAGAAGGTGCTGGTGGTCACGCTCTGCCTGGCCGCCTGCAACAGCTGCTTCAATCCCCTGCTCTACTACTTCGCCGGGGAGTCCTTCCGCACGGCCGCCCGCCGCGGCTCCGCCCGCCGCTCCCGCGGCTCCTTCCTGTCGCAGAGCATTCTGCTGGCGGGACGCCACGCGCGCTCGGGCTCGCTGCCGGGCAGCCAGAAGGGCTCGCTGCCGGGCAGCCAGAAGGGCCCGCTGCCCAGCAACTCTGTGGTCTGGGACTGCACGGAACTGTGACGGGACACCCCAGCACTGCGCCTCGTACCCCAGCACAGGACAGGA